TCTATTTGATATCAATTGAGCATTAAAGTGCGATATTATGACTTTCCGCCTTTTTTGGAGAAGGAAGAATGGCGTGCAATATCGCAGGCAACCACTACGCTCCTAAGTACAACCGACGTTCCATAAAATAGCTATATTGCCATGAAAGAGCTCAAAGTCCCGGTGAAAGTCCCACATGAATATCATGTGGTTTAAAGTCAAAGCGTTGATAATTTTCGTGTTTGTTGATTCTAAACAATCTTTTCCCACAGTCCTTTCCAATGACTTTTTGCAACGCAATTGCATAATGATGAATTTGTACTAATTAAACATAATACGGACAACTTATTCAAATATCTTACTTAAATTCAACTGAACAAATCTATTTTTATTATAGTATGATTTTAGATAAAGTCAGTTTTTGTAAAAACTTTGGTGTCATAAACATTAATCATGTCATTTTTTCATTTTTTTTAAAAAGTGGCATGAAACATATTTTAAAATAGTGAAACTCGTATCTTAGTTCAAATCTTTGGCAAGCTTCAAAAATGATAAATTTGATTAATACTTTCATTTGATAGCGAACAAGCTAAGACACGTTACAGTGGTGTATTTCTGGCAAACATTTATGAGAAGAAAAGATTGATTTTACATCCCCTGTAATGTTAATTGCATGCACTTTAGATATAACTGAAAAGCAGAAATGTATTTTATATATGATTGTGTATAATCATGTCTTTAAATATTATATAAAAACACTTCAGAGTGAGTATAAATGATACTACAAGGAGATGAGAATATTAAACTTTCGTTAAATAAACAAGTTTTGTTTAATTAATTATCTAGATCACAAAATATCAGTACATGAAGTCTTGGTAAATAACCCCACCTGCTGCTCTCTTAAATGTTGCATTGATGTATTACAAGTTAGAAAAAAAAATATCTTCTCTTGAGAACAAAAAAAAAGATGTTCAAACGAATAAAAAAACAATTCTATGGATTTTAATGTAAAACATTAATATCAATATATCTTGATAGTTGAGGTATTATTTAAATTAAATTGAAAGAGGACATCCCGGAGAAGAAAGAATATGGAAACCATAACTTGTTTGATAGGGACTATTTATTACAGGCAATGGAATGTGCATTTATCTCACATGCCACGAGCACCGGAGTATACAATATTAAATTAGCAACAATACAAATATTGGAATCAATCATCCCGACAGACCAGAAAAAACCTACGAAATTTAATAAAGCATGGAGTTAATTTCAACATAAGTCGCATAGCACTTAACATATACTCATGATATACATGTATAAGAAATATTTGTGCAGCATATTAAAGATAGATTAAAGCTTATTAAGTTATGAAATTTATGAAATTTATTCAAAAGTCAATTAGAAATAGATAACAATATTAATGCAAGTCGCGTTAATCAAAACATTTATTACTGTTGTTCAATGAAGTCAATTGCAAATAAGCAAACATTTGCATTTATATGCTAATCTCATGAAACTCTGCCGTAAGTACTGAAATGTGAAAGGGTATTCATTAAATGCGATAATGATAATTGTTTTAACGACATAAGTTATCATAAAAACTAAACTGAAAATATAGTTAAAAAGCCCATTATGCCTCCGAAATGATATCTATGTCGAAACCTTTTGTGGTATCTTGTTTCAGTTTTCAAAAAAATACTCATTTGCCATATGCATTAATTTTCTTTCGCTGATTTGTTATATTTGCAATTAGTATAATTACAGTGAAGAAATATTTTATATGGAAGTCAAAATACTACTTTTAAAATTGTTTAAATTTTGCTACCTTTACAACATATGTTCAGCGCTACTTTTCAGTTGTTAAATATCACATTCTCTAAATTCATTATCAAAACATTATTAAACACATGTTTGACATTTCTAAAGAATTTGTTTTTAAAAATATGGATATCTGAGGCATAGTGTGCCTTTAAAATACACATTATTTCTAAAGTCACTTTGAGATTGTAAAACATTTCTTGCTGAACTAAATATCTTGCATGCACAATGCCAGATGCAAAAAGCAATATTTGATTTAATGACAACACCTGCTTATCTTAATCTAATTCAAATATTATCTTTATTAGCCTGTGGAACAAAATAAACAGTAGCATTCTTAAATCGCTAATTAAGGCCTCAACAGACGGTAGGATTTTGAAGTACAACACTAATTAAAACTAAGATGTACAGACAAACCTTAATGTGTGAAGGCTGCTATTTCTTGAAGCCGGAAACCTTAAGTCTAGATGTAAGGGATAGGACATGTTCTATTTTGGAAAATCTTGTCGTACAGATTTCTACAGACCTCCCACAATGACAAGTAACAGATTACCAAATTATCTCCTGATAATGGGTGTAATGAATGAAATTCCAGAACAATTAGGGCTAAAAGGTAAACATAGTAGTAAGATGGGGGAAAATGATGTTGAAAAACTCTTCAGGAGACCCAAAGTTGTGTTATGTTCGAATCCCAAATTGTTCCGAAAATGATTATGTCACGGTATTGAACTGTTCTCTAATCAGGGGAGGTAGTTTGTAGGCGGCCAGATAGCTCAGTCAGTAGAACCGCAGTACGGTATCCGAGGGTCCCAGGTTTGAGTGGTCAGGCTGCACATTTAAAAAAAATTAACATTTCTTTTTTAAAATATGGAGGTGTTTCAATCATTACTCATGGCGAAAAAAAATTATTTAGTGAGTAGATTATGTAAGGGATCAGATGGGAGGGAACTTTTTTAGGGAAACCTGAGATGATTCCTACAATGCAGAATTACCGTCTGAATGCTAGTGTTGTATTGCTTTGAAAATTGTACATCTTATCTCTAATTAGTGTTGTACAACTAAATCCTACCGTCTGTTGAGGCCTTAAGCTACGCATACTTATCTAACTTATATCAGTTGGTCGTGGTGAATCGATTTATAATCAGTCAATACAGACAATTTATGTTCGTTTCCGAGAAAATGATAGCAGTTGGCCAGAAACATTTGAACGCGACAAACATACAGCAATATCGCAAGCTTTACTAAAATCATATGAGCAGGCATCATTCTTGAAATGATGAAATACAAATAAAGCTTTTTAATGTAAAGTGTAACTAAGATGTACACTGCAAAAAAGTACCTGATTGTACCATCAAAAATAATTGTTAACCTTTAATCTTCTGGAACAAAAATGATTAGTTTTTGGCACCAGAATAGAGCCAGGCAAGCCTGCACATCCGCACACTTGGCTTTTCTCTATTCTGTTGACTGACTAATTTTAGTGTCCATCTTCATATCCTCAAAATTAATAATGGACAGTTCTAAAAATTGTATCCAAGAAATTTGACATATTTATGTTAAAATTCATATATAGATAAACTCCTCTAAAATTGTTGACATAATCATTAACAGCAGACGGATTTAATTCATTGTTTAGATTAGTTAATTTGATAATTTATGTTGATAAAAGATATGGTTGATATGCTGTAATAACATATATCAACTGCGTATAAACAAGAAATATTAGGTGAATGCAGGAAAAAAGCATAGCTGTGCTTTACGAAGAGTTCTGGCATTATGTAATATACACACACTATTTCTTTCAATCGTTTTGGGTTCTTTTGCTGTGACTGTTTTGTTTGTTTGTTTGTTTATTTTGGTTTTTTTGTTGTTTTTCTTTGCTCGGATATAAAACAAAATGCATGAATTAGTACAATTTTATCATACATCAAACACACTATCATAAAGCAAATTATTAAGAAAATAAAACCATACGTTACCGTTAGCATCATACAAAGTCGAGAAAATACCTCAAAAATATTAAAAGGGACTTCATTCAGGTATTTTGACCTGATGGGACTGGAAATATTTTCACCGGTTGATCTTGGTATGGACCAATAATTTGTATGCAAAATTTCTTATCATTTGCTCGCTCCATGTTTCCAAAATAACCTTTTGTGAAAATTACTCTTTCAAATCGTGATACGAATCGCACAAAATGTCGAATTTCATTTTATTCTGAGTTTGTTTATTTATCATCATTTGCATTTTATTGTCGCTTTAAGTGTCCCAGTTGATTTATGTTAAAATCAATCAAAATTTCGAATATCAAACTCATATTCACAATAGCAAGTGATAAATGATAGCCTGCATGTTTGTTAATGTTACTGCTGTATTAGGCTGGTCCTTCAGGATCACAAATTATATTGTGATAAAAATACCACTAGTGCGGGGTATTCTTTGTCTCATGTTGAAACTCACAGAACTGACAGACGAATATATAAAAAACATGATAATGCACATTTTTTGTTAAGTAAAAAAAGCAAGACGAACACCTGTTTCATTAACACTCAATATCATTATCAATCAGGTGGTTTCCAAGATGTAGCCGAGCAATTATCGAAAGAATACCAACATACTGAATTCTAATTAAACTTAGTCTAGTGTATCGATTAAAAAAACAGACGGTTTTATTTGTCTAGGGTTTAGATCTCATTCCGCCTAAAGATTAATTAAAGTATAATCTAATTCTACCGACAAATATTTAATCAATTGGAATATTCTCAAATTCAAACATAATTATAGGAAAACAGTCGAAAAGATGTTTCCTGTTTTAGTTAGTTTACAGTTTTATTCTCTCTTTTTTTGAGAAACCTGTTATAATAATTCAGATAACCATAAAATAAAACAACAGTATCTATCTATTATTTGTTAGTTGTCAATGCCTCATCTACCATAAAACAAGTACTAGTCTATATTTTCTGACTAGATAATTGTTTATTTAAATGAAAATAAGGATTCATAAGATTGGGCCGACTACTTATACTATTTCATTAACCATCTCATGTTCATCTTTCATCAACGTTTTGCTATGATAAAGATAAAGATTATGATATTATTCGTACACTGTTCTGGCAATAGTTTAACAAACAATATTGTTACTACAATAAGATACTTTATAATAAAAAACAGTGTCGTCCATAATTCATCCATCCCAATATTGTTATGTATTGTAGGAATTTTTTTTAAATATTATCATCGTTGTTATCAACTCATTTACCAATGCGACAAGTGCAGACCAAGATCTCCGGCACATACATGATGTCTGATCATGGTCTGTACTATTCCCTGTTCAAATCAATACATGTTTGAAAATTATTTTAAAATGATGAATAACTTTCACCAGATTGAAAAACGGACAACTTCATTAAAAATATTTAACGTTGTAAGGGTTTCATCAAAATATATAGACGTGCCAAAGCTAGATTCTGAGGGGTTTTTTGTTCTAGGTCAGAATCTCCCTTTTAGAGGGGGAAACTGCCCATACACAAAATAGCAAAATGTCTCATCGCGTATTACTATTAGTAGGACTAAAGGTTTAAGCCGATGGAAATGTTGCATTTACATTGACCTTCATGAACAGACACAACCCGATTTCATTTATCTGCATTGTCTACTTTTTATTAAGATATTTCTTGTGAATTTATTACGTGTGATCTTAGGATATGGTATATAATAAAATATTATATATATATTTAAAGCAGCATGCCTCCAGATTCATGCTAGGTTTCATAAAAAAATTGAAAATATATTTAAAAGTTAAATATTGTAAAGTGAACAAAGAAAGTTATTTACACATTTCAAACAGCACTTACAATTCACGTAAATGACCAAAAAGACATTAATACCTCTTACTGCGTTAGTAACGCAGTAAAATTATAGTGATTGATACTGCAAAATCAGTCATCAATCGCACATAACTTGTTAATAATTAATTAGATATTTGAATTTTTTTACTTTTGTTAATACATTTTTCTAAAGATTAAATTACTTGAAATATTTCGGCTTATCTGGAGGCTTGCAGCTTTAAATGCATCCTGCATTTCATAATAACTTGCGCTGAAATCTGATCAAAGTCCGTAATCTTGTTCCCAAAATAACGTTCATAATGTAATAAAGCATTTGAATGCCATAATATCATCTTTTGCATCATGGGAAAATTGTTTTATCACTTATTACTAGTAGATTACATATTTACAAACGTTTTTGTACAAAAATATCTAAATGCTTATCACCTGTACTGAAAAGATTATTCAAGAATGGATATGAAAATCGTAAGGTTAGATAATGGATGTATTTTGTAAGTAAAAACATTATTTTGCCTGTGCATATTTCAATGAAATTATGTATTATCTTAATCAACCATAACGTCATAATTATTTTAATTTGTATCACAAAACAATTTGTCTTCCATGATTTGTAAATTGCATATAGCGTTATACCCGAAGCAATATAAGTGGTGCACTCTCCGAAAGTCAAATGCCTATTTTTACTAAAGATTTATGTCAAGTAACAGACTAGTAAACAATGACCAATGTTGATATTACATTTTCAACACAATGTCAGATGATTTACATATGCCTTTTTAACCACTATGTCATTTAAAGGCCCGTTAACACTTATTATTGTGAGGAAGAAAAACATTTATGTAAGGTATAATATAACTGTTATGACAGCGTATATAAAGATATATTTCGTGTTTATGTAAATTTACAGCAATTTATGAGTAATTGTTTATAATAACTTAAATACATGAATGCTTACTAACAGTTTGGATTTCGATAATTCTATTTCACCCTGACTAGGTTCTGTCTGTATTACACAGACATATATATTGAACACTCGTTCCTTTTATTATACACACAAATAGCACTTTCACATTTAGTTAACGCCAACTTTTGCACTTTTATATTAACTCCTTGCTTCCCCTTCTTCTCGCGAGAGCTGCAAGATCTCGCGTTGTTTTCATAGAACATGTCCGTGGACGAAAAGCGTCATCCTCTTCCTCTGTGTCGGTACCGTCCAATGCTGTGACACTTGATGCTGATCGTACTGAATAATTGTCTAGTCCAAATTCACTGCCTTCAGTTGATTGTAGACTTGTAGTGGAGTCTGTCGCGGGACTTTTTCTATATTTCCTGGACTTGGTCAATGAATGGATTGTGTCTTGAATATCACAGAATTGTCTTTTAAGTAAAATATCATGTTGTCTCAACAAAATCTGTAAAAAAAATAATTAAAAACTTTAAAAAATAATTCCTTCTGAACTATGAGGCCTAACGTTGCATTAAGCATTTCTTAACGGATTCTCAGAGCATTAAACCTTGGATGAAACTGACCATGCCTCTGGGGTCATAGGTCATATTTTAAAAACTTTGTATCTTCATTAGTATTAAATATTAAAACTTCATGATATATTCAGACATATGATATATTTAAACATGTTTATCGTGTACATTTAAACATGTTAATCATATGACTTGCGAATAATTTGATCATGACCTTCATTAGGTTTAGATGACTACATATTTGGAAATAATGACTAGATATAATTCTTAACCCATAATAAATTTAAAAGAATTCAAATAATTCATTTGTATATGCAATGGCCTATACCCTACATTAAGATTTATATAATAATCGTGTTGTACTCATTATGTTCAAATATTAAATGAATAATTGCAAATTGATGTATAGATCGATATTTTTGTTCAAACTATTATTAATGCTCCGGCATTTATGTAACAAATCCAGTCTTGTTTCTTATTCCAAATAATTGTACTTTTCTTTAATATATTCTTGTTTAACCCACATGATTGTTTGTTTTATATAAAACATTACTCACGAGCTCTTGTTTAACCCACATGATGGCTTGCATCATATCCCTCATCCGTTCATCTTCTCTCTCCTCGTGCTCAATGATGATCGATGACTTCCGTTTTGAAGCAGACGACAAACCAGGCGACATTTCGTCTTTGGAGAATTTTTCATATCTTTTAGGCAATCGCAAAGCACCAGGTAAACTTCCGTGTCGTAACGGTATTATTCCATTCTCCATCTGGAGAAAAGTGAACTCACAACTTTGACTACTACATCTCCTGTAAAATATGTAAAGCTATCTATAATGTATTAAATACGAATAACCAGAAAATGCTTGAAGTTATTACATGTTGAAGTTGTTCCACTATTTGATTCATTTGATCTCTATTTGTTTTATGTAACGATATTCATTTATTTATATACTAGTTTTACTTGAGTATGAAAGTGTATAAATACTGTAGTTTATATTCCAGATTGAAAATAAGTCACAACATAAGAGTAACAGAAAGAAATTGAGTATAAAGTTTTGAAAATACCAAGAAAAGTAGTTATATGTATGTATATGTATTTTTTATTTAGTGTTACTTATTCTCTAGAAATTGTGCATTTACTATTCAAGGCAATAAACAATAGAAACCTGTTTAAATAAAGTGTATAAAGTTATATATCACCTGCAAAATTATAATTTGAAAAAAAATAGTATACTTCCAAAATGATTGTATGAATGACATATGGTAGTATATTGCGAACATGAAAGCGAATGACGCATGCACAAAATCATTGCTAAACAGTCAAAACTTGGAATAGCAGCATTATTTTTCCTAAACATTTTATTTTATTTATGTACACTATTCATGTGTAGATGTAAAACATTTTCGCAAATCAAACATTAGATTAAAGAAACACTATCATTAAACTGGTGATTTATTTTTCAAAATATCCTTTCATAGCAATGTGGACCGATGTAATTACGTATTCTATCAGTTTTCATACACATTTTAGTAATAGAAAGAGCATCGAAACACGAGGCTATCTGATTTGTACGAGGGGGCGTAGCCCCCGATTATTAATCAGATTGCCGAGTGTTTCGATGTTCGATGTTCTTTCTCTTTTATATCATAGTCAAACATAAAAACACGCTCCCTGTTGTCAAAATATGAAACCCCGGGAAAAAGGAACCAATGAACGAGCATCTGAATATGCTATTTCTGTCTCTTTCTCTTCCACTTCCGTCACAATATGTAAACCCCAGCAAAAATGAGCCAATCAATGGGCATGCTCTGGAGTGCGGGTAACTAATACCTGCACTCTAGTTAACGCACTGCGCATGTATATGTAAACGATTTAACTGACACATTTTCAACAGAAAGGTCCCTAAACTATGATACAATATAATGATATTTTGTTTATCTTATCAGTTATTAACATCATAGACAAAAATGAAGGAAGTGTCTGAAACATTCTTAGCATCTTTTACTATACCAGGAAAATTTCATAATATATCTATGATAAGTATAGAAAAGAAATTGCAAGAGCAATATTGTCGATTATTGTAAATGTTAAAAAAAATATTATAAACAAAATGTGAAAAGGCACACACTGTCAAAGAATTTCCTGACGATTAATTCAAACATTAGTCACAACCTTTATTACAACTTATCGCGTAAACAATCACAATCTTAAAATCTTAAAACTTTTTTTCCATGGCATACATTTAAAAGAATGTACAGTATCGTGCAAAAAGTAAAACAAAAATACCTCAGCATGTTTGCCCGTTAAACTTGAACTCTATCCGGTGTAATTAAAATCATGTTTATCTATATAATGTTTATCAAAACAAAACGTTCACAATAAAATCCTTTAATGTATGGAGTATTTACATTTCATTTTTTTTCCTTTATTATCTGTACAAATCACACAGAAAATGAAAAAACGTGTACTTGGCCATGTGGTAACAATATTCAATATGATTTACACCGTGTTTTGAATTAAACGTTGAAGACAAGAGAGACAGGTAAACTTAGAGTAGCATCAGCAACACTGTGTTAATCTGACAAATCTTACAAACTGTAACTGTTAGCAGACATTCTAATAACAGTTTAGGCGTACTTGCATTTTAGTATGACTTAACATAAATATAAACTTTTAGTTAGCTTCCATATGCTTATAAGATCAATGGCAAATAATGATACAGTTATTCTTCAATCTACACAAAATTTTGAGCAAAGTAATGCTAAAACTAAATTCTCATTGCTTTTAAATAAGCATTGTTAATATTTTTTTCATTTTTCATTCGTTAACCAGTAGTTGTAATGAGTGATTGCAAGGGCCTAAAGGAAAAACTAATATTTTAAAATGACGATATCTCACCTTAAACATATAAAGTTTGGAAAATACATTTCCATAGACAATAAACAAAAAAAGCATTTGATAAAACATTTTACATTATACTCAAATTTTAGCGTGATGGTTATGTCTAACATTGAAATACATACGAGTGTCTACTCTAGTTATAATAAACATTTCTGAGACAAAACGCAATCTGTTTGCATTTGTCAAAGTAAACAATGTATATTTTTTTTCACTTTTCAAAAACTTTGTAATAGCATAACCTGTATAAGTTCATCATGGTTTACAACTTAAATTTTTTTGTTCTCAATTGGAAATACAAATCTATTAACATTTGCAGCAAAACACTTTAAAAAATGCATTCAGCAATAATCGTATTTTAATTATGTTTGCATAATCCGTAAACATTTCATTTTAATCATAACAAATATTCTTTTCAAATGAAATCTTTATAATAATTTCGTATATTTAAACTTATGGTATGGTCTGTTTAAAAAATCAACAACCAATTCGATTCTACATATACATTAAAGTCACATTATGCCTCAGAAAGGCATTATTTATATCTTTAGAAAGGTCAAACATTAATTTTATAATGTGTAATTAATAGAGCATGTTAAACGTTTGTTAAATGAATGAAATACCGCTTAATATAAAATAATGTGTCATACAGGCAGCAAAATGAAAACAAAACGGTACTTTGTCTTCCATAAAAAATGCTAAATCACTATAAATGTACTAATTGCCAAAAAGCAACAGAAGAAGAGACAATTCAGTTAATTGGTCATTGGGTTACTTGTTGAAAGCTATAAAAGAATACCAAAATTAAATAAATAAATGAAAGCATTTCTGTGGCATAATGGGGCTTTTAAAAGAATGACATGAGAAATAGCTAACATGTGTTTATGTAAATGTATAGTGTGCTCTTTACATGATGTTATAATTAATTGTAAAATCAAAAAGTTGCCTGGAAATTATCTACTCTGCCAGTCATATATCACCGAAAAAATATCACTTAATACAACAAGTTGGCACTCATAAAATATCAAAGTTTTAAAAGTTTTCAATTTGCTGACAAAACAAATATCATACATATAAAGATATGGATCTATATCAGAACAGTATTATATACGTTTAACAAAATAAACTGTTCGCTTGAGCTTGACAACATAAAACAACAAAAATAATTGTTTAGAAACATTTCTTTAGGTTTCAAGATACAAATATTTGACTGAAGTATCAACTGAAGAAACAACAATTTCTTTTTAATGTTAAAAGATTAGTGCAATATCAAATTTAAAGTAGGTTGTTATCTGTATATCAGTTGTCACACTTGTTGTATTATCAATTGATGTCTAACAGACGCGGAAAATAACCTGATCCGATAGCTAAAGCGAACTATCGTGTATTAAATTAAACGTACTGGGAAGTTCATCTTCTATTTCACTCAGCTTTTTTAAGCTGTTGTATTTAAGCTTCATTAAAGTCTTATTCCACATATAATGTAAAAATGCACTTTCTTCTTCCTTTGTCTTTATGCAAACAATGCATGTGATCATTCTAAAATAGAGTTATTGGGGGCTAGATACAGTTAACAATGACTTCGTAGTAGATTTGGAGTGCATAATTCAAATATTGATAGCAAAAACGATAGGAATCAAACAGACCGTTTCTCAAAATCCAGAAAATATCATTATCACAATTTCATAAGACGCTTATCAGCAAAAAAAAAACCTTATAAAAGATTTTTTTTTACAACATAATGTTGATTAAGTACTTATATGCCATTTATCTTCTTCAAGTAAATCGTTGTAAAAACAAAATGAACATTCAATAATTGATGATACTTTATTTTGACTAGCTGTTTTCAACTCTTTAAAACAGGGCTTTTGAGAGCTCCAAAACTGGAAAAAAGTAAAGATTTTCGAAATGTGTGTGTTTTGAAATAAGTGTATTTAAAGCATCGACTCATATAAATGTTTATGTTAATTTGTCATAGCAACTTATTTCTGGTGCTTAACACATACATTCTTACTAAATGTAAGGATATATCTTAACAAGCATACTTAAACATGACTGCATTGATATTGGCGAATATTTATTTCATATCGTAAGTTAAAACAGTGATAGATATCCAGATCTTTTAAAGATTTACGGAAGAACATTAATTCAAGCTTTGCATGTTTATTAGTAAGATAAGAATTTTTGCTCCATTTCTTTTATTTTCGTATCATAAATCACTGTTATCATTTACGATGAATGATCAAAAAACTTTCAAGTTACAAAAGCTTTATTACCTTACTACAAAACTAACGTACCCAGTTTTAATCAATATCAAGCTTAAACACAGATAAGTTACCTATCTTTCACAAATGTAGCAGCAATGTATCATCGCTACAGTTGGAATATAAAAACAAACGCGGTACATCTTTCTTAATTTCGAATCAGCAAAAGAAACATTAGTGTATTTCAGCAAATTATGTTAACTCAATAAACATTACTTTTCATTACGAGAAAAAATGACAGTTATGCAGCGTTAAATTAGTTTAATAGCAACATCTATTATCATACGCTACATGCCAAACAGGTACCCGACTAGCATTAACATAAAACATTTAATGTCGAAACTCTTTTTTCCCCAGACGATAACATAAAATACAAGAAAAAAATAACAATTAAATCTCGAAAGACATAGTCAAAATTTACGTAATTATTATATTTTTAACTTATCAGAAAATAGGATCAAAACAAAACTGTTTATCATGTAATGTATGTAGACCAACTTATAAGGTAGTGGCTCAGACCTGGCGTCTCATACTTGCATAACTTTTGTCTTTCTCTCCTACCTTGAATATATACCGTTTTGGCAGGAATAGTCACGTGCCACGCACCTGCTCAAAAACTGTGTTATGTGGTAGAATTTTCAAATTCACATTGAAGCGCGTTTTAAAATGGAACTGTGTCTAAATATGTTACTCACCTAGATCACGTGAAATATTGTATCGTGCCATATTAATGTTTCAGTGTTAGTGGGGCTCGCAAATAAGAGAATTTGTCAAGTATAATTAATTACTTTTATATCTTAAATCATTAAAATTGCTTTATGAAAGCTATGTTATACCCAGTCACTATTAAAACATGTATGTTATATTTAATTTGTTTGTTTGTGTATGTCTTAGTTTTAAGATGATAAAAAATTCTTACCTCAAAAGTGAATATGAAATCACACACTTTTTAGTTTTGAACTATAAATTGTGCCGCTTCCTTTTAATACGTTCATAAAAACACTTCAGAAGAATGTTTAATAACATTTATAATCTCTCACATTAATATCACAAAATACTAAATACACAACATACATTCAGGTTCACAATTGAATCAAAACAGAAATAAATTTGACACTAAAGTTCGGATTATGTTTGCATCCTTGGTCGTGAGAAAACACTGTCGCATATAAAGGAAGATTTTAATCGTTTTACTTTTATGTTTAACAATACTGTTATAAGATCAAATTTATTTCCCTTTGTTCCTCCAAATTCTAAAATTTCAATCGAAGCATCTTACGCTTAAGACTATCATAAAATAGATCATGGGAAAATATGTGTGCTTTTGTCAGAGTTTCCTTTGTTGTATTACAAAACTATGTCAGATAAGCCCCGTGTATATTTCAATTGGTATTTTTAAATGATTCTTTAAACTCTATATAAATTATTTTAGCTTTTTTGCTTCCGTTTAAACTATAACATTTTCATGATTTTGTCAATTGTTGTGTGTAAAGGAAAGAATATATCCTTTGAAAAAAAAAGTGTTTTTCTATCCAATTTTATCAGTAAAAATGTATTGTAGAATCGAAATGATTTCATTGATTACAGGCATACAAGCAAGAAAACCAATGCTTACTGGTGTTATATAATTATCACAGCTCCTTGTAGTTTAATACCTATTAATTATAATGTCTCTATATTCTCTCTTCAAAAATTATTTTCTTCACAAGACACTTATTTCACTAAACAAACAACATGTATAGTATTTCTTGAACATACCAATATAACACATTTCACAATAAAACTATTCAAAATTTAACGTTGCATATAGTCTTTATCACTTTATACTTAAATCAACACTGATATTATTATTACATGTTTTGCTCGATGATTTCTTTCTATGTTATAAACAAAAATCTCATATTTCATAAAATTACTATCCATCACTGTATTTCAATAAGACAAATTCTTTATTTCCTCATATCAACAAATACAGGTAACTTAAATTGACATTATTATACACGAATGTGGCAAATAACTTCGGTAAACCAAATATTCGATTTCGCTTCAATGCATACCAGTTTAAGTATTAATATACAAGATAAATCATGTTGATAAAATAAAACATCGTATAACAATTCTGTTTTAATGCATTAAGTTCTTTTTACATTATTAACATAGTATATTTTGATAAACGGCGAGTTGTATCTTAGTCTACTTTAATATAATTATCATAAACATTGTTTAAAGTAATGATAAATACAAAAAAACATTTATCTTCCTTTTTATTTTTACAACTGTAAACACTATATTTAAAATATTAAATCGTTGTCCTTTTTATATTTTTAGTTGTTTAAAAAAACTCCCTAAAGAACGAAAACTAAAAGGATCCCTAAAGTACGTCAAAAACGGCAAAATTGAAAATGTTACAGGCTCCTGTTCATGGACGGTTCTGGAAAGTGCAAGCTAACGTCCACCCTCCATAGCCCCGGTTTAAGCACAATTCAACATTTAAACATGAAATGGTAAAATTAAGAAATATCGGCAAATGTGTAAATACCTAGGGAAGTACCTCAAACAATATTTAAAGTATCAATCCGCCTGAAGATATTATATGGTCCTGCTACTTTTTATTAAGATATTATCTTTTGAACATATTTGCACACTAAATGAAATAAACAAAAACCTTATGAAGTACATAAAAACGTTTTATATTATATTTAGAAGAAAACTGAGAGGAAAATACATTACGTAATAAGTTGAACAATTCTACTGCAAAAAGAATTATATCAATCCATTTAGTTCTTTACCCTTTTTGTAAATTTAGTACATAAAATCACTTAATTATAAGTTCTGTATCCTATTTGTAAATTTAGTACATAAAATCACTTAATTATAAGTGACGTGTGAAAGAAAATGCCATGTCATAAGATAATAGTTGATAAGTAGCTCCTACACATCGAGAAAAAATATCAAGATAAAAAATTACATTTAACTTTACAATGTACAAATTATTCCAATTAAATATTACTTTTCAAAACAATGCTTTGTTTTTCTTTGCAAGATTTTATTTATTTCTATATCATATATAAGCATATAAAATCGTGTTTTCCGTACCGTGTAAATAAATTGTAGTTTAGCTGACTTTAAAAACAGTATAAAAAGATAAATAAATGAATTATACATAAAATGTTCAAAATAGAAATCTTGCCACGCACCCTAGCACCGACTTACGCAGGATTCAATTTTAAGACATGCAAATAGCGAAACGTTGAATTTAGAAGCATCTGCTGATGTGTTCATTCGGTTGTTACCATAGAACCTTCAATGTGACACGTAAGCGCCATTCCGTGAAAAGCGGCGCGTATGGTTCAAAAGTGAAAGCCTTAATATGAACTAAATAAAAAGAAATTTTTAAAGGGGGTCACAAGTTATGAAGCCTGTATTCGCAGATAAGTATTAAAAAAGGAGGCAACATTTTCTAAGGGTGACTAAGCAGTATTCAAGTTCTAGGAATACTGGAACCACACGAAGAAAAAAGTATCAAATACAAGGAACTAAAAGAACCATGAGGTCTTCAAGGATCGGAAATATAACATCTCTTGTATGTACGGGGAGACTTTTTACATTAAAAAAATATTGCTTTTTCGTCACCCAAACATGTCATCGAATAATCATTTGGATAAAAAAATAATTTTCAAAATGTTTCCCTGATATTTTCCATTATTTCTATACAAAGATATTTGACCTAAATAGTGTCTTACAAATTTCGCACATTCATGCCTTGAACTATTTAATCATAAATATCATCATGATATATGAGGATGACTTCCGTATTCGGTTTAGATACCTTTAAAGAAAACTTCAGTCATATCATGTACAAATTATGTTTTATTCAGTAAAACAGAGGTTGCGGTTTAAAATTTCACGAATCTAATCAATAACTCTAGATGATGGTCATTACAATATAATTCAACAAAGACTTGTCGACAAGTTGATAAAGACTTCACAATTGGGAATAAGCTTTCTCAACAAAGCTACTTTCATATCGTTTAATAAAGATATCAATTTACATAAATTTTTACATTAAGCAATGATTCACCAAATATCTTTGTATTTTATCTAACGATAAACGAAATAAATTAAATTTTAGCCTGTCGGAGAAATAATAGATAAGGTATTTAATTAAGTTAACTGGCATTATACCACAGACAATATAAATGAAGTATCTTCTATTATAGAAACTCATCATCCGCTGTTCTCCCCATGCACTGCACAACTCCAAGCAATATTCTTCACCACCGCTCATCACGATCGCACATGACTGGCCCCCCTCATCTCTCTCTAATCCACTAACCTCTCTATTACGTTATCACTGCCATAGAATGTTCAAGCTTATTCCTCTGTTGCCGTTACCTTTCCCTCCTGTTTACTCCGTTTGTTGTTCCTTTCATTCTTGCGCTCGATCCATCTGTCTTGTTCTTCTAATTCTCATCCTTTACTCACAGATACCTTCTCAAACTCTAATTGATAAGACACATGTACCTACACTACAATACTGAATAATCAAAAAGTACGTCAAGGACTGACCATAACCAGCTGCACCCATTCCTGCACACCACTTGAGCCAATTCTTGCCACGCAACGGACGTCAGTCAGCACACCAGCAATTAAACATGACCAATCCCCTTTCAACGGTGTGATATGGCCAATGCCTCCATTCCTCGTAGCTCTTATCCCCTACGTCAGCCACTCTGTGCTCCACCGCTAATAACATCGGTGCTCATATCAATCATATTCCAACGCACTACCATACGTGCCCCACAAAGTGCAATGGCTTCTCCCAAAGACAATTATCACCGCCCCCCCTATCCCATTCTTCATCCAATAACTCCCCATGGCACCTCTGTACCCCGTACAATCAGCCCACCTTTATCTCTTTGCACCTCCGAACATATAATACACAACGCACCATGTAGAAAATGCCTCACCCCCCCCCTCCCGCCCACACTCGAACTCATGCTCACCCTACACTCACTCTCAAACAAACCCCCTATCTCCTACCCACTCCGCACAATGCACAAACGACCCCCTCGCCTCTCGCTCATCCATCTAACGGCCCTTACTACGAATACGCCGTGTTTTTCATAAATGACGAAACAAATCACGCCATCCCATCTTCACTCCGCCCGTCAATCCTTATACACCCAACCCAACTACATACCCCAGTTCCCCATTTAAAACCCCTCACTCTTCCACAATTTTCAAAATCCAGTCGCTGCTAAACATCTAAAATCGAATCCACTACCAATTCCACACCTTGTAAACACATCCCGACAATTCGATGCATACCACAGTCATCCTCCGTCCTGACCTATTCCACTTGACTCAACTACCGCTTACCATTCCTATACACACCGCTTCACAAGGCTAGTATGCTTCTCATAAATCTGAATTGAAGTTTACCATTGTAATCTTTTTATTTACAACATTGTTTAATAAGTTTATTTATTTTTGTTTTAGATCCTGTGTAGTTAATTGATGAAAGTAACATGACAAATTTTATAAAAAGAAAACCTTACATTATACATAATTTGTCGAAATGAAAGTTAAAAGTTTGAGTTTGAGTTAATATAGATTTAGATTTGATTATTTATACAGTGAAATCTTATGTCGAACTAGGGTAATTTGAATTGTAACATGTGGGTGCCATTAGAACCATATGAAAGAAAAAGTTTAATTCATAAATTGGTTAATAGTAGAATGAATAAAACCAAAGTCATATAGACATATTTAGATTTAGATACAAATGTAATTGAAACAAAATGTGTGTGCTTTTGATAAGCGTGATATGTAACCGTAGTAAGTAGTAGTCCCACAGTGAATAAACGGAAAATAAAGAAAATCCATTTTGATAAGGCAGAACATAAAAAACAAATAAAAAGATAATAAGATGTTGGCTGCATGAGAAGTTATCATTAATCTAATTAGCGTGTAGTTTTTGCTAATTTCTTCTGCTTTTTGTCGACTTAACATCGTCTAGTCGGCATAAAGAGATTTTCAGAGATATAGCTCGACTTTAACATGAAAGGAAACACAGAGAATGTTTTTGTAAGACGAATAATTATTTTTGTTTAAATACAAGGGAAAAAAGAAAGAGAAATAAAAATAACTAGGAGAATAACATAACCACCTAAACTTTTATGTATTTTCAGAACTCTGAAAGAAGATTTTGTGGAAATGTTTTAATGTTTGATTTTTTCTGTAATCCATTTGCGTGAGCATAAATAAGCTTTTTTTTTCTTTTTGGGATAGAATTTGCAGGATTCTGAAAAATATCCTGAAGCCTTGTAGGCCAAACCTAAAATAAGCATGTAAAACAAAAATCATATTACTATTATGTTTCCGTCTATATAAAATAACAATAGTGTAAAATGTTCTGCAGTTTTAGAGACTACCTGTCAATAAAGCATTCACCAAAATATGTAATATTTTGTACCAATACGACATGTATGTATTTTGCCGTACATTTACCAATAAATATCTTTATATATTGTTTT